AGAACGGATGGAATGGGAATGCACTTCCAACTATGAAACTCCTCAATGATCGACATAAGGCTCGCGAGTGCCTCTTGAGTGCTCGTCAAAACCTCTTGGTGACGTTCGGAAGGCACAACCGTGGTTGGAAATGAAGCTTTGGTCCTCGATGTACAAGGTTGGCCAACCGATAGGTGCTCAAATGGTGGAGAAGATGGAACATGGAACTCGGTTTCTTCGTTTTCGGACGTGGAAGCCATTGAAGCGCGAAGGGATCGATTGCACTCCTCTAAGTGCTCCATAATCTCGGCTATATTGAATTGAGAAGATTCTCGAGTCAGCTCGGGTGGAGATGCCGCATCGTAAAAATCAGGAGACGGAGGATAATAGTGAGGCATCTCTTCGGGACCCGGAGAGTAATAACCAAAATCGCCGTGAGATGTCGGTAAAGAGTGGCTCGGGTATGGATAAGGCGGCACTCCATACGAGTACATCTCCTCATGATAGTTGCCGGGGCATCCACGAGACGAGCTACCGGCATAAGCATAGCCATACGGATCCATCGGAGCTCCTCAAGCGAAATACCTCGCACAAGAAAAACAAAACAACCAAGGCACACGAGGCAAAGGAAAGAAAACACAAAACGAAACTAACACAACATGATATGTACACGAACACACAAAGCAAAAATCAAGAGAAATCGAAAAACAAAGCAAGAATCAAGAGAAACACGCAAAATTAAGCAAAATCCACAAAAAGCAAGATAAACACGAAAACAAACGACAACTAGATAGTAAACTTGGCGTCCTACTTGCCTTCCCCGGCAACGGCGCCATTTTGTTTGTAATATTTTTGGGTATTGGTAACTGAGTTACCCGGCCTCGGGTCGTTCTCAAAGGAAGGCTCTTCGGAGCTTCGTTCACTATCTAGTCGTCAAAGTCACACAACCAAAAAGGTCCTAAACATGCTACTCGCTTGAAGGGGATTGATTTAAGCTAAACTAATCTACGAAATTGAAATCGAAAGCAATTAGAGCACGCAAGAAGATGAGAGAAATCAAGGGGGAAAGAGAGATTTTGGTTCGTCGGAGTCTCTATGATCAATCACACATAAATAATCGAACATTGCCATGCTAGCTAAAACCCTAGGTAGCTAAACCAAACTCTAGTACAAGACGAGCAAGCATTTAACTCCTAATCACACTTAGTCAAGCATTCACGATCTAAAGATTCAATCTTTTCCTCCAAGCAACTGAAGCACAATATCAATTTTCACAAAAGCAAACAAAGATATACGAAGTAATGAGGCTTAAGGCTAAGTACCCACTCTTACACGCACTTGAAAGGAGAAACGGATTCAAAAGCTCGAAACTTTACTCGAAACAATGTCGCCGAAAATTCGCCAGAAAACTTGATTCATATGCTCCAAACCAAAATATAAAAAAAGAAAAAAAGAAAATAGAGAGGAATTCCCAACTTAAAAGTTGGGAAAATGAGGGTTGTATCCCCAAAAATACAAAGCCACAAGTCTATTTATAGCTACACCACAAACACACACTAAAACACACACATTTAACAATTTAGCACTCGCTAGATAGCGAACTAGTTTGCTAAGCGAATTGGTCTTGTGGTCTTGTGCACACTCGGTAGGCGGCGAACGCGTTCGCTAGGCAAACTGGTCTTGTGATCTTGTGCACACTCGCTAGGGGGCGAACACGTTCGCTAGGCGAACTAGACTTCCGGATCTCTTGCACAGTAATGACTCGATAATGGCTCGGGGGTTCTCGGAATGGTTTATGCTCTCGAACTTGGCTCGATTCTTCTCTTTCATCTTCCAAAATGGACCTAAAAATTGCACCAAAGACACGAGAAAGTACGCCAAAATACAAACATCAAAGAGAAAATGAGAACACACAGAATCAACTAAAATGGACCGTTTAGACAAGAAAACCAACCTAAAACCGACTCAACTACACACATAAAGCACATAAAAAGAAGCACATAAACACAATAAATAAGTTTCGACCTTAAAAGGAAGATCCTTGAACGAAGGAGTAGCGGCCCAAGGATAAGAGGTTTCAGGTGTGATATGTACAAACTTACATTTCCACTTAGGAACGTTGGAAGGGGGGTCGACTATGAAGTGGGCGTTATTCTGGCTTTTTAAGTATAGCCTCCAGATTTTTAGAGGCTAAATAGCAATAATAGAAAAAGCTTAGGTCAACTCGACCAAAGTGGATAATGAAAGTGGTTAAGATCCTAAAGGTATTTGGAGGAAGTTGGTTAAGGGGTAATCCATATAAACTACAAAGCTCGAGCAAAGCATTGCAGATTAGGAAATAGAGGCCTAGGTCGAATTATACCTGGAAAAAAGTGCACGACCCATTAGGAGGATGTTCATAGGTATCATCATCATCATCGGATCTATGAACGGCCCCGAGATGACCAACCTCATCGAGGTCAAGCCAATTAATGTTTTGGGATTTTTTGGAACGACACTCAGTCTTGGGACGACTGGTCGATTGGATGAGTTTTTTTGCTTGAAGAGGGTGGAGTAGTCGAGGAGGGTAAAGGAGTGGTAGGATTATTGAAGGGCTCTATGGGAAACGAATGGATTTCAAGACCCTCTTCACTTTCCTCTTCCTCGTCGAGCAAACCAAGGGGTCGACGAGAACATTTGGGGGATGAAAGAGGAGGTTGACTGGTAGCACCTTCATCAAGGTGGTCGACTAAATAAGATGAAGGTGAGACATCGTCAGTTGAGGGGCTCTGAGGTAGCAGAGTTGGTTGAATCATGGTTATCGGCTGAAATTGGAGAATCTCTTCAACATAATTACTGGAGAAGCTATGGGTAGAGGAAGAAGAAGGAGAAGTCAAATCCTTGGTTCTATGATGGTCGTTTTAGCTGGAGGTTGCAGAATCTGAAGAAAAAAAATGAAATGAATGAAGAAAATATCAACAAGGGGACTTTTGTAGAAGGAGAAGGAGAAAAGCTGAGGGATTGTACAGCGGGCAAGACCGTGTTGAAGTCACATAGATCAAAAATGGGGATTAAATAAAACCTGCTTAATATGAAGAAAACATACAAGTTAAAGGATTAAGGAAACTTACTCATCATGAACATTGGAATGCTCGCGGAGAAAACTGAGAACTTAGGGTTGGAGAGAGCTCTAAATTGCAGGGAAACTAAGAAGATATAAGTGCGAAATTTTTGCAGAAGTGAAGAAAAAACTCTAAAAGTGTTGCAATTTGGGTATTTATAGGAAAAGAGAATAAGATAGGTATAATAACCGTTGGATCAAAGTAAGTTAAAAGGCCACGATTAAAAGAGAGGGGAACGGTCATCGCAATATTAGTCGTTAGATTAAAAGCAATGATCTAACGGCTGTGGATGAGAGAGAGTTTAAATGGGCACGAGAAGCGATGCGACGCGAATTACGGAGTAATGATGAGATTTGATATATGAAGAGGTGCGCCTGACAAAGTTTATAGGTGGCAGTATTTGAATTTCGAAATGGCGGTCGCAGTATGAAATGGTCGAGAGAGGGCCAATAATATATCAGTTGGTCGAATATAGCAGGGAGACAAAGACGGTTAAAAACGCAGACGAAGATTTACTCTTAGATCAAGTCATTTGGACTCGAACAGGAGGTACGGTGATCGGTCCAGTTGAGGTGAGGAGGATAAACCGGATAAACTGGCCTAGGAACAGGAGGTACGTTGATCGATAGAGAGCTGAGATCAGAGCTACGCAGATTTAGGAGCACCCGACAGATCCCAGCTTAAAGAAGAACTGGTTGAAATGCTAAATGGTCAAAGATGAATGGTCGTGAGATCGACCATCCCCAACACCAGGGGTGGCTTAGTAACTTGCCCATATCTGGTCGAACACAGGAATCTCCAAGGGAATCTTTGAGATACGTGCGCGGGACACGTGGCGAGAGCTGATTGTCATATACCCGCAACGGTTTCTGACACATTCTTTGAGTGTGGAAAGGAATATTCCATATATATTTCCTCAGACCAAATGCATTTTTTGGTGAATTTTCTCTACTTTGGAAAAGATGAAAAAAAAAGGATGAAATATTAACGGTTTACCTTTTCAGAAAACATTATACATCTTGCCAGCTTCTGTTTTTAACTCATTCGCAACATTGCTTGTGTTGTTTGCTCTCATGGACCTTAGAATTTCACCGACGAAGAGGGGTTAACATTATGACAAAGTGCATGTCAGAATTAAACTAGAATGCTTGAACCCATTACAAACGTAGTTTACAAATTATCAACACTTGGGGACAAACCAATTAGCCAACACAAAATACTTGGAACAGAAAAATATCTAAAAGGAGTTCACTTCGCAAGTCATAACTAAGCCTAAAAAAAAATAGGGAAGAAAAACAAAACAGGGAAGTAGCAAATAGTATCTGAAACCACACAAGTTCTTCTCGGAGTTAGATTAGTCCTTAGATTGTCATAGTATTTTACCAAAAATACATCTTGTGTTGTTAAATTTCATAATTTGTTTATGATATTTTCTAGAGGACAACATTTAAATGTTAAAGAATACTCATCGATGAAAAGAAAAGGCTAAAGGTTGAAACTAAAATACCAAACCAAAGAGAACAAAAGGATTGTTTCAAATCAGCCCAAGGACAAAAAAAGCTTTCAAATTAACAGAAAACAAGATCATTGAAGTTTGTTGTTAGTTAACACTGTTATCAATCAGTTAAGACTTCCAAAAAAACTAAGTAAAAATAAGCCATCTTATTCATAAAACCAACAAACAAATCAAAGAATCCAACATCACTAATCCAAATATATAT